GGGGGCGTGTGCTTGCCAGACAGACAAGAGACAGACAGAGAGACAGAAAGTGAGAAATCACCCCCCAGGGAGGATGACCATGCCACAGTCCCTTCTCCTCCGTTCTCCTCTTGGGATCTTGGGCACGCATGCACACGCGCCTGGTGTGAGTTTTAAGCCACCGGGTCCGGGGCGCAAACCGCTGTTGACAACATTATGCTAACTGCTGGTCCCGGACCATGACTCTCTTGAATCCCCCATAGCTATTGTAGTTCATATCAAGTACAGGTTTACTTTGGTGCAAAAAGTTTTTGGAAATTTTTGCCTATTTTTTTAGAACCCACATTTTTCATGAACTTTTTTTTTCTTTTTTGGAGAGGTTTTTTCTTATTGGGCGCGTGTGCTCACCAGAGAGAGACAGAGAGATAGAAAGCGAGAAATCACACACACACACCCCCCCGCCCCAGAGGGGATGGCCATGCCGCAATCCCTTCTCCTCCATTCTCCTCTCGGGATCTTGGGCACGCATGCACACGCACCCAGCATGAGTTTAAGCCACTGCATCCGGGACTCGAACCATGGTCAACTACATGGGAGTCTAGCAACACAGCCATTACGCTAACTGCTGGTCCCAACTTTTTGACATCTCCATCATATACAAAGCATATTGATGTTACTGCTTCATGTGAAATAATCATGGATCAGAATTAATGTCCTCTGTCTTTGTATTTGCCATTAGTCATTTTTAGTCAAAGTGTCAAGTCTGTTACGGTATTTAAGACAATTTTTTCAATGTTGTTTTCCTTTCCTGCCACCCTCTTATTTTTACAAAGTTACCAGGCAGTGATATTGCCAGTGGAAGTGATGTACTTTCTGACGTCATACCCAGCATTCCCAGTTCACCTTGCCTTCTTCCTAAAAAGAAGAACAAGCATCGGAATTTAGATGAACTTCCTTGGAGCGCAATGACAAATGATGAACAGGTAAAGATCTGGACATTCTTAATTAAAAGCCTGTCTTTGGAGATTATGTGAAGCTCAGTTTATTGTCTAAACTTATTGTTAAAGCTACTGAATAAAAGGGAATGCATAGTAAATATGAGTGAGATTTAGCTAACTTTTTGGGGGAGCAGATACAATTTATTAAGTGCTTCTGGTATGTAAAACACATTGTAATTGACATGCTAAAAGATTCAGGGTTCTAGCATTAATTTTGCTTGTCATTTTTTTTTTAATCACATAGGTGGAATATATTGAGTATCTGAGTCGTAAAGTCAGTACTGAGATGGGTCTACGGGAGCAACTTGATATTATTAAAATCATTGATCCTTCTGCTCAGATATCCCCAACAGACAGTGAGTTTATTATTGAACTTAACTGTCTCACAGATGAAAAACTGAAGCAGGTATGTAAAGAAAATACAGATTTTATTACTACTGAAAATACCACCATTTTATAAAATATGGACTTGAATAATCATATGTACATACATAGATGATTAAGGTCAAAAGCAGTGCTATGAAATGTAATGTTAGAAAAGATGATGGTAATATTTGAGAACATTTGATTTTAAGAGGTTTTATTATGGGTCAGCAGGTGGCGTGGTGATTAAGGCACTGGATCCCACATGGCTGACTCCACGGTTCTATTCCTGCACTTGGCAGCCTGAAAAACACGTGGGGCACATGTGCATGCATACCCCAAATTTGGCATGGCCATTCCTCCCCTGCCTCTGCCCGGAAAGTACATGCACTCTTTGGGCAAAAAACCTTAAAAAATAATAAGGTTTTATACTACATCTCACTTGGCAGAACCTTTTTAGGATCAGTATGGATCTAAAACTTGCTCTTTTATGGTGTAGATTTTGAAAGTTAATGTCCCCACTTAAGGGATGATTAGTCTAAAGTATAGACTTATTCTTTTTTAACCAGTTGGTGTCTTTTTGTCTTAAAGTTGTGTTTGTTTCACAAGAGTGAGTGATAGACAACTAGACAGAGAAAGACAAGCAGCCTCAACAGGGTCTCATGCCACAACCTTCCCACCCTCCCAGCCAGCCAGGATCGTAAGCACGTGTCCCCAAATTGACAGGTCTACAAGGGAACCAAACCCACAATCTTCAATATGGATCTAGCATCATATGGTCCAGCTGTGCCAAGCAGTCAGCTGCTCTAAACTTACTCCAGTTCAGTTTACAGGAGACTGATCAATGATCAAAATGTCCATTAGTGAGAGCCATACTTGGTTGGACATCTGAGCTGAGGGAATTGAGTAGTTTTATGGATTAATTGAGCTCAGAAAGGGTAAAACCCATTGAATTTTCTCTCTCTCATTCTGAAGTACACTTATCTTGAATATTCTAAATGCAGTCTTTGCTGCTTTCTTTTTCTCTGGTACATGGCCAGATGAATACTTAAGTTCTTATATTCTACGTTTGGTTTGTTTTACGTTTATCATTATTTATGAAAATGTATTTTATTTCAGTATTTCTTCCCAACAGATATACCATATTTTTTTGCATTCCAGCCCATTTTTCATTAGTGTGGTAAATCAGTGTCTTGCATTTGAAGACAGGTACTGTGGGTCCCTCACTAAGGTGTAGAAAACACCCTAATCTCAGATGAAATCATCAATGTGCTTAAATCATCTTAAGAGGAGACTTTTTTTTTTTTTTTAAGAGGAGACTTTTAACAAATGCCTAATCTCATCTATTAGGTCATCAGGAAAGTCATGACTATTTTTCTGTTTTTCTATGCAAAAATGCATCATGACTTTTCCCTTGACCCAATATTTTCTTTTGTTGTTAGTTTCTATTTTGTGTTACTTTCCTACAATCCTAAATTCTGAAGGCCAGTAGCCTTCCATTTACTGATTATACTTTATGTGTTTTAAAGGAAGCTTTATAATATATTTTCTAAAGAATTTTGGACAGTTTTTCCTGGTTCTTGTTTCTAAATTTTCAGATTCCTTTTGTTCTTCTACCTTATTTATATGTCTGCAGTGTTTTCAACAATCTTTTTGATTAAGTGCAATGTGATTTTTCTTTTTCCTCCACAGTGCCATGGGTAGACCCGCAATGTACAACACTAACCATTTTTTGTCTATGTGTCCCAAGGTCAGAAACTATATCAAGGAGCATAGCCCTCGCCAACGGCCTACAAGAGAGGCCTGGAAGAGAAGCAACTTTAGTTGTGCAAGCACCAGTGGAGTGAGCGGTGCCAGCGCCAGTGCCAGCAGCAGCAGTGCCAGCATGGTCAGTTCTGCAAGCAGCAGTGGGTCCAGTGTTGGAAACTCTGCTTCAAACTCCAGTGCCAACATGAGTCGAGCACACAGTGACAGCAACCTGTCTGCAAGTGCAGCAGAGCGGATTCGGGATTCAAAAGTAAAACGTCTAATCAATACAAAACTTTACCTCTCAATATTAACATTAGTACTCCTTCATATAAATTTCTTGAAGAGTTAAAATGATCTATTAGCTGCCTGTGGGTTTTGGTATTAATTGAAAAAGCAGAATGCTCTGCTGTTGAACAAAGCCCTCTAGGCTGAGTGCTTTGAATTACTGTTTTGACCCACAACCATATTGCATTCAATTTTCTCTGATTCTTGTGTCTGTTTTAAGTAAGATAAATTGACAAAAATAATGATTCTCAAGATTGCAATATTGACTGCAACTCACTACTGAGCGAATCTCACTATGTTGCTGATGTTGCTGTCTATTAGCTCCTAAGAGTGTTGTGTATGTCTTTTGTGCATGTTGAATGTTCTCTTAATGTTTTAATCCTGAAATTTTCTTCTTAACTAATTTAAAACTGTAATAACGCTTTCTGTAATTTCTGTAATTTCTGTCTATTCTTTCTGCAGTTGAAAAATTCTATATAATATTGTTGAGCACTTTTTTAAAAGAAGATGTAAGTGTGTAGAGAATGGTTCTGCAGCATAGTAGGGGAATTTGGTTCCTTGCAATGACAAGAGTCTAGAGTTAATTCAGGGATAATCAGAAAATCTCTAACTCTTTGAGAACCCAGTGGTAACTAGAAGATATACAACAATAACTCACTACTGAGCGAATCTCACTATGTTGCTGATGTTGCTGTCTATTAGCTCCTAAGAGTGTTGTGTATGTCTTTTGTGCATGTTGAATGTTCTCTTAATGTTTTAATCCTGAAATTTTCTTCTTAACTAATTTAAAACTGTAATAACGCTTTCTGTAATTTCTGTAATTTCTGTCTATTCTTTCTGCAGTTGAAAAATTCTATATAATATTGTTGAGCACTTTTTTAAAAGAAGATGTAAGTGTGTAGAGAATGGTTCTGCAGCATAGTAGGGGAATTTGGTTCCTTGCAATGACAAGAGTCTAGAGTTAATTCAGGGATAATCAGAAAATCTCTAACTCTTTGAGAACCCAGTGGTAACTAGAAGATATACAACAATTCCTTCCCTGGTTCCTTAGCAAAATAGTAGAGACATAGCTAGCTTTGTTGGCTACCAAGGGATTTTCTATAGATATAGGGTCATTCCTTTTGGACATTAGTTCACCAGTGACAGAAACTAGAGTAATCCTCACTGGGTTTCTCATAGGCTTTTGTGGTATTAGCATAATAATGAAAAAAAAACCCATGATTCTTTCCCAGCCATTGTAAAATTGCTAGTGCTTTTAGATAAAAAACACCTGAAAATCATAAGCATTAGCAGTCTGGGCAATGTACTCTGTGTTTGTATTCAGCATTGACACCAATGTATCTTAATTTGATTGTCTTATAAAAGAAGGCTTTAAAATGACTGGTTATCCATACATAGCTAGTCAAAATGATCAAGTTCCAACCCTTCTAGTCAGAAGAGTCAGAAGAGGCACTGGTTAAATACCAAAAAATAGAATCTTGAAGAATCATTTTCAAGTCTAAGCCAATGGCTCATTTACCAGAATAAGGACCATACTGCAGAGGAGTTGAACATCTTTTAAAATTTGGAAGATAGAGAATTTGATCCATAAAAACACCTGGGTGGATATGCCAAGAACTAAATCTTACTGATGTAAAATTTTTATTTTAACAGAAGCGATCTAAGCAACGAAAGTTGCAGCAGAAGGCCTTCCGCAAGAGGCAGCTGAAAGAGCAAAGGCAGGCACGGAAGGAGAGGCTCAGCGGGCTCTTCCTGAATGAAGAGGTGCTGTCCTTGAAAGTGACTGAGGAAGACCATGAAGGCGATGTTGATGTTTTGATGTAATAAGGGTGAATTTATCAGTGTCCTTTCTAAGCACTAAAGTATTCTATCTTTATTGGTTTACATGCATCTTGACCAAAATTTTGGTTAGGCCTGTGCTGATGTACCATTAATAATTTAGGCCAGTGGTTCTCAGTGTGTGGTTCCAAGACCTGCAGCTTTAGATTGGGGGAGGGGGGGTGTTAGACATGCATCCATTGGGCTCCACCCTAGACCTAGCGAATCAGAAACTGGGGGAGGGGCCTGGCATTGTGTTTTAACTAAGGAGTGTGAGGTTATTCTGATGCACACTCTAGTCTAAGAACCACTGGTTTAGGTAAATGTTTTAACTATTTAAACTTATGGTGGTTATGTGGACTTTTTCAAAGACTAGTACTTTTATAGTTTAGAAGATTTCAAGGTACTGCTGACAAGTAGTTTATTATGTCAGTATATGTACATGTGTAGAGATCATAATTCAGTTCCCTTCTTGATGTTACGATTTCTTAGTTTACTTTTTCTAAAGGGCCATAGCATAATTCTCAGCTCCTGGTGGAAATCTTTTTTGAGGTGTGGAGTTGGACAAGGTGTGGATTGCTGTTTACAATAGTGCCTTCATTAAGTTTAGTTATGTTTTTATTCACAAGTAATTCAAAAGTTGAAGAACAGGCCCTAATCTTTTTTCTCTTAAGTTTGTTTCTGTTTTTCACTTTATGTAAATTGAGAGTCCTTTCTGTAAGTGATGACTACTGAGGAACTCATGTTATTAGTACCTGAATTTTAGACTTGATGCTATATTAATATTCAAACAGGGAAAGCAATTAGACAAAACAACAAATTGCGATTTTCCATTGCTTTCTGAAATTTTAGGCTGTAAAATTGTCTGAAATGCAGAACATCAGTCTCTCTCATATTCTTTTCGTAGGTCTTTTTTTCCAGCACAGCTCTAAATATTACTAAATATTTGCTATAACAGCTTCTGGCATGTGAACAGGTTAATGTTCAAAATTAACTGGTGAAACTTCTTTATAAATTGCTAGAAGTAAAACAGAGCCATGAGATGTAAGAAAACACCTTATCTTGTTGGCTTTTAATAGAAGTCTGATTTTCAGTGTGAAATCATTAATTTCTTTAAATGTTTTTATAGACAGTTTGTGATCATAAATGTTGGAAGTAGTATGATTCCTTTTCTACCACATGTCTTTGAACACTCACAGGGGTAATTTGGAGACTGATACTACTGACAATCAAGCTGCTACTGACTTTCTGAATTTTCTATTAATTATGGATAACATTTGAGAGGTGATTATGATTCTATAGGAAGAGTGGTAATCAATATTTTTTTAAAGTCTAGAGTCCATAGGTTAATAGAATTTCTTTTAACTTTTTGTTTTATCAAGTAGTTCATTTAAGAAAAAGATTTAACAACCTAAGTTCTTTAGTTGATATAAAGGCTTAAATTTTGCTTACAGCCATGAGGTTAGAAATTCTGATTCATTTCAGTTCCTCGAAAGTTAGGGAATTGAAATCGAGCATAAAAATTGATACATTGCAGATTTGCTGAAGTTTGTGTTGTGGTCGTAACCCTTTGAAAACTACTAAAGTCATAATTTGAAGTTTTACTCAGAATGAAACCATAGATGAGTCTATGGTTTTCAATTGGGTAGTCCTGACTTCTCCCACTCCCTCTTTGGTGCCCCTAATCACCTTAGAAGGCACAAAGAACCTGAAGGTAGGCCCCAGGGTACTCCAAGGAAGGCAGGCAGAAAGAATACACCTTTTTTTTTCCTACCAAGCAGAGGAGGAGCACATGGAGAGAAGAGCAGATATATCTGAATCGCTACCTGCCCTTTGCTAAAGCAAGATCCCACAGAATGATTGCCAGTTCTTCTTACATGCACTCCAAGGAAATGGTCCACTTTTAGTGACCATAGAGCAGCATGTGTCTGTCAAATACTTAGAAACTATTTACTAAAATCAATTCCTAGTCACATAGTCGTACCACCTTAGATTTAACTTATGTCACTATTAAACAAGTTTACCAAAGTGCCACAAAGCCAATCTTTAAAGTTTGTAAAGGTTTGAGTGTTTATATAAGTGTGTCATAAATATTTCATAAATCTGGATGTACTGTCTTTTTATTTTTTGGGGGGGGGAGGTTTTTGCTATTGGGCACGTGAGCGTGCCAGAAAGACAGAGAGACAAAGAGACAGAAAGTAAGAAATCACTTCCCCCCCCAGGGGGGATGACCACACTGCAATCCCTTCTGCATGAGTTTAATCCACAGGGTCCGGGACTCGAACCATAGTCGACTACGTGGGAGTCCAGTGACATAGTCATTACGCCAACTGCTGGTCCCTGGATGTACTGTCTTTACAGTACTATAAATTAGAGATAGCCTACAAAGTTGGTTTGGAGCCAATTGGAAAGATTTCCTTCAATTAAAAGAAAAATTAAACAACTCGGGTTTGCGAATGATTCAAGAGGGAGATTGGAAAATCTTTCTCTAGCCCATCCCCAAAAGAAACCAGCAGAAAAGACATAAACGAAATGTTCATTTGTCTTTGTGAATGTGCTATACATTTTTTTCTCTTTTAATGCCTTATGCAGATAATTCAAATTTGTATCTTCTCTGTCTTGGAAAAAGTAATAATTTATTCAATCTATTAAATCTCTGATTTCAATTTAAAACAAATCCAACTCCATATTTTTTTTAAAGTATAAACCCTAACCAACTGTGTAATTTAAAAGTAAGACTGACTTGTTCCAGTGTCGGTCCTTATCTGTTAGAGACCTGACAGTGCAGCAGTATGTCTTCCCTTTAAAAATAAACTTTGTTATTGTGGGCAGGTATGATGAAGCCCCACAGATTTATCTGGAAACATTTTCTTAGAGGTCTTGTAGTAACATGCTAGTCCCTATTGCAGCTTTTCAAAGTACAAACCTTGACTTAAATGAAACAACATACATTTTTCTACAGTTTTATAACTGAATTAAAGGAAGGCAGTGTACTAATAATATGTAGTGGGGCATAAAGGACTAGTTCATTCTGTCCCAACAAGAACTTAGAGTAAACTAACACATTTTCTTTTTCTATGAAACTAGTCTAATTTTTTTAAGGCTGTGGCAGTTTTATCCAATTTTTCCATCCCTTGAATTAACTAGTTATTGCTGAATTAATCCCTTCAACTGACTTCTAAAATGACTCATTATAGATTGAGTGGACATCTTATTTAATTTAATTTTTAAAAGTGCTAAATCTTCTTCCTCAAAAGGATAAATTTTAACTATTGTAGAAATTATCCAGTCTGATGAGCTTTAAAAAATGATAAAATTTATCAAATATCTTCATATTTAAGCCAAAAATATTAGTTTACAACCAGTGTAGAAGTCTTGTTTGTTTCCAAGTTCTCTAGTGGAGACTTTTTGTTTGTGGCTTACTCTGCATAGCCTCATGTGCCTTAAAGGTGGTGAACTCTTGTACTTTTTGTCAATATCAGGCTTTTCCCAACTCAAAAATAATCTAAATGTAGTAACTTGTTTTATATAATGTCCATGTTTTTGGCTATCAGTAAGCAAAGCCATTAAGTTGAACCAATCAATGGTAATTAAGTGTAAAACAAAACAGAACCCTTCAGATCTTAAGCTTCATTTGCATAACTTTGTTTTTGGCCTTGCTAGGTCATTGAAGAACTTTGAAAGTTATCTACAGTATGGCTTTAATGTACTTCCCCCATCCCCCAAAAGGTCATAGGCCAGGATACTTCTTTTAACCCTGATAACTTTTAATACCTGGAAAGATGATTTTCAAGGTAGAGACAAAAACACTTCAAAATGGAGATTATATAGAAAGTTGATTCTCTTGTTAACTTTAAGAATTATTATATAAACACATTTATGTAATAGTTAGAACACTCTCCTCCCTTTCCTTTAACAAATGATCTTACAGTGCTTCTGTCTTCAAGAAAGATGTTTCTTTGGAATTGGTGGGGGCTACTTAAAGTCAGTTTATAGCTTGGAACAATTGATAGGAAAATTCTCAGTTGCACTCAAATGATTATGTTGATGTTGAGTGCACTAACATGTCTAAACTGGAGGTATATTGAATCCTGGAAAGGACTGTTAATTAGGAAATCAGTATTTGAATACATGTGATGACTTTGGATTAGTTTTAAGTCTGATAAAGCAAAATAAATTTTATCTTAAAAATAAAATAATGCTAAGTGGAAGAGATACATCTAAGAAGTATTTCAAACCAGGCATCTCTGTCAGCTTAGTATTTGGAACATAATTCCTTGGAATGCTTAAGTCTTATTTCTTTGGAAAGTAATTTACTTACCCAAAAGAATTAGAAAGAACTTTGGAAATTTTTCTAACTGGCTATTAAGAGTAAGGAAGTTGCATGGTATAGCTGAAGATCTGAGACAACTCACTCAAACTATTTTCATATTTTTTCTAGTATTGAAATTGTTTTCAGCTCCCCCTCCACTGATTATTTAAATTAAGGTTACTTAGTGTTTTAATCTAGATTATATACTGGTACATTAAATTTTAATTTGACATTCATACTAAATTCTGAAAAACTGGTTTAGTCTTCTTTGAACTCAGTATGTAGTGCATTTTCTTTATTGTCACTTTATTTTATCTTGTGGTCAACGGAACCTGTGGGAATTGATGTTCATTTTTGTGGTGAGGGGTGGGGGTGAAAAAAAGGGAGAATTGCTTTAATGATGCATATACATGTTCACTATGTAAAGGTAGTTGTAGAACTAATATGTATAGATGACAAATTAACATATTCTCAATTGTTCTAAGGAACAGTGGCCTGAAGCCTTGGCTTGTTTTGTGGAGCTGCTTGCTCTTGAACTAGTTGACCTATGGGATTTAAATTGAGACTTTGGGGTTAGGCTATCTAGCTGAGGCTTTTAGGAATGGAGCAGGTAATTTCTGTTCCTGTAGTGGATCAGTTTCATTTCATATTTGAGTATTCTAATTTAGAGATAAGTATTATCCATTCTAAATCTTTGTGTTGGGAAATTTAATAGGACCGTTGTCAAAAGCTATTCACGGTAAACTACAAGTATGTGTAAAGCATTTCATTGGTGGTCAGACATTTCAAATTGTTTATGAGGCTTTTTGGGGGGATGTTTTCTAGTTTCAATGATTAGTTATGTAGCATCAATATCATAACCAAAGCAAGTAGGAAGTTGACTGATTTGGAGAATCAAGTAGTCCTAAATACTATAATGTATCAGATTGTTAACCAGGATTTGTTTTCCTGTATTCCTGCTAAATGTATTACTATATTAATGCACTTTTGTATATATATATAACTGTCTTCTGTACATTCTGTACTTATTGCAGTGTATATAAGGCCCATTTTCCTGAACCTGTGAGGGAATAATAGTGGCTGTGACAGGTCCTTTCTATTTTGAGTTCCTTTGTACTTGAAAGTAGCTTAGTAGTTAAACTAATTAAAACTGGCAGTGTGGCACTGCTATCTTTTTTGAAGCTGAATATTAGAATTAAATATGTTGTTTTGGTTATTAGAAGCTCTTGTAATATTTTTATTTTTTCTTCTAATGTACCTTGAGTTTTTATAAACCCACTGTTGCTTACTACTACTTCTGAATCAGCAGGTTCCATGCTTCATGCCGGAACATTTATCAGCCGAGAAGCATTGTTCTTTTCTTTTGCTCCCAGTTTAGTTAGGGTTTTACCAACTTTTGTTTTCTGTAAGCTCCAATTTCTCACATCTTATTAGTAAAATGTTTCTGTTCTGGAGAGGTCAGAATTCTAGAAAGATTAGCCTTCATAGTAAGTGAATATTAGGTCTAATTTTTGTTGACAAAAGGTACATTTTATTTTCCTTACATATTGATTTGGAACCTTTTAAAATGATATTTTTATAAAAGAATCGTGAGAAGTTTTATGTGTAGATACAGGAGCTATTCAGCTTTTAATAGCAACTTCTTCTCTTGCCACTAGAGGGCCATCTGGTTGCTCTCCTTTAGTAAATGTCTTAGCTGCTATTGTTTTTAATTTTGAAGGTTGAAATAGACCCTATTCTCAGAATTCCTTTTGTGTTATTAAATATTTTCATTTATTAGTCAAAGGTAAGTTAATTAAGCTTGTCTAATTAAGCCAATCTTATGCTTTTCTGTAATCTTCAGTTTTTAATAAATGCAAGTTAGCTATTAACTGAAACATGTTTGTGTGTGTGTTTCTTCTCTTAGGATATTCTAGAACTGTACTGTCCATTACGGTGGTCATTAGCCACATGCAGTTATTTAAATTAATTAAGATGAAATAAAATTTAAAATATGCTTCCTTAATCCCACTAGCAATACTTCAAGTGCCCAAAAGTCATATGTTGCTAGAGGCTACTACTTACTCTGTTGGAAAGCAGAGGATGTAGAACATTCCCATCATCACAGAAAATTCTGCTGGACCATGCCATTCTAGAGAGTGTGTGGTTTATATAGCAGTCATTTTTTTTTTTTTTGGAGAGGTTTTTGCTATAGGGAGTGTGCGCGCGCCAGACAGACAGAGACAGACATAGAGACAGAAAACAAGAAATCACCCCCCCGGGGGGATGGTCACGCCGCAATCCCTTCTCCTCCATTCTCTCAGGATCTTGGGCACGCATGCACACGCGCCCAGCGTGAGTTTTAAGCCACCAGGTCCAGGACGCGAACCGCGGTCGACTACGTGGGAGTTCAGCGACATAGCCATTACGCTAACTGCTGGGAACCAGTAGTCATTATTAATATTTTATTGATGAACATTAATCAGTGGCTAAAAATTGCTACCTGTTCTAGGTTTTTGGTGTGAGAGAGAGAGCAAGCTGTATTTCAATTTCTACTTCATTAAAGACATTACCAAAAGTTGGTTTAATGGAGACATTTCTCAGATACAGACCATTTCATTTGACTACGAATAGGATTTAATGTTTGAATGATGTGGGAAATTTGGTACCATTTCCTCAGGTTTTATTTTTGAAGAGTGCTGCCATTCAGCATTTTCTGTAACTTCATCTTTTGACAAAAAAGTAGTTGTGATAAACTGAAATACATAACTTTTTTCCTTTTTACAAAAAGTTTAATTTATACCTGCTTTCCATTAG